GATGTACCAGGGCTGGGCGCCCTTCCCGCCCCCTCCGGCCACGCTGGCACGGCCAGCCCATGGCAGGTTTCCCGGCCCTTCGCCCCCCAGCCCACCCTGGCACGGGCTGGGTCAACCTACTGCTGGTGGCTCGGCGCCCTGCGGACCTGCCGGGCCTGGGCTGGGCGCAGGCAGGTGGCAGCCGGGCTCGGCGCCCTGGGGACCGGGGCTGGGCGCAGGCAGGGGGCAGCCGGGCTCGGCGCCCTGGGGCCCTGGGCTGGGCGCAGGCAGGGGGTAGCCGGGCTCCGCGCCCTGGGGCCCTGGGGCCCTGGGCTGGGCGCAGGCAGGGGGCAGCCGGGCTCGGCGCTCTGGGGCCCTGGGCTGGGCGCAGGCAGGGGGCAGCCGGGCTCGGCGCTCTGGGATGCCAGGTAGCCCCTGGCCAGCCAGGCTAGCCCATGGGAAGGGAGCACTTGGCAGCTCTGAGGGGGGAGCAGAGGCTCTGGGGTTTCGCCAGGGGGAGCCCGGGGCAGGGCAGAGCCCCCCAAGGAAAGTCAGCCCGCCAAGGCAGCGGGGTGCTGTGGAGCAGGGTTGGGGGCTGGCGGGCACTGCTGGGGATCCATGGGTGCGAGGAGCCCAGGCAGGCAGGCAGCAGGACCCTCCGTGCTCCCAGCTGGCCGCACGTCACGCCCGGCTCAGACAGAGCCTTGTAGGGTAAGGGAGCCTGGTTCCTGCCAGCGACAGCAGGAGCGGAGCTGGGAGCCTGCCCAGCGCTCAGCCTCCCACCCACTCACCCCGGCTCCGGCCGGCTGCTCCTCCTCCCTCGGGCTGAGCCGCCCCCCAAGGCCAGGCCTGCCCGCCCCCCGCGGGCCCCGCGCCCCCCAGCACTTACCCGGCTGCACAGTCAGCCTGGCGCTGCAGCACGACTCCCCCACCTCGTTGGCCGCCGTGACCGTGTACAGGCCGGCGTCGGCCCCCCGGGCGCTCGGCAGCAGCAGGGTGTGGCGCTCACCCTCCACTTTGATGGGGCGCCAGGCGCTGCCCCTCAGCAGGACGCCGTCCTTCCTCCAGGACACTGGGGTGGGAGAGGGCAGGTCACGGGGGAGAGCGCCTGGGTGTCCCCGGGGGGACTGAGCCCAGCCAGAGCTCACTGCAAGGCCCTGCCGGGGGGCAGGACACAGCACTCCAGTTGTCATCAGGGCCCCCCCATCACTGCCCGGGGGGCAGGGTGCAGCGTGCCTGTCGTCAGGGCCCCCCCCATCGCTGCCAGGGGCAGGGCGCGGCGTGCCTGTCGTTGTCAGGGCCCCTCCATCACTGCCCGGGGGGCAGGGCGCAGCGTGCCTGTCGTCGTCAGGGCCCCCCATCGCTGCCGGGGGCAGGGCGCGGCGTGCCTGTCGTCGTCAGGGCCCCCCCATCAGTACACTGGGGCCCTGCGGGGGCAGCACCGCTCCCCGGTATTGCTGGGGGCACGTTGCCCCCCAGGTGTAGCCAGAATCTGACCCGCTGTGGTTCCTGTGACTCTCCTGCCCCCTAGTGGCTGGTCTGGAGACGCGCTGCTGCACATGGCCCCGCGCCGGGCACCCCGTCTCTCTGGACATGGCCAGGGAGCGCTGCCCTGAGAACAGGGGGCTCTGCTCCCTCCCCTTCCCCCTTGTGCCCCGGCTGCCCACACAGATTCCCCGGCGCCCCCAGAGGGTCAGCGAGGGCGGCAGGGCCGAGCCCCCAGCAGCCCCCAGCCCAGATACAGACAGTGGCTGGGACAGAGACTCTGGCCTCCTGACATTGCCTCAGTGTGACGCTGGGCAAGTCCCTTTGCCAGCCGGGGCTTCGTTCCCCTGCCCCAGATCTCGGGTTGGGGCTGCCCATGGAGGGCTGCGTGCGGAGCCCCTCCGTCACCTGCTCTCCCCCCCCTGCACACCCAGCACAGCTGGAATCATTGCCATACTCCAGCTGGCATCTCGTGCCATCGGCGAGGCCTTTCCTCAGACCCAGCCGCGGTGTCCGGGCATGAGGGGCGGCTCCATAGTGCAGTCGGCCATCACGCAAACCCCCTCGCCAGGGCTGTGGGAGCCGCTGTGGCCCTGTCTCCCAGTCAGCCACGGCCACGCTGCCAGGAGGTGCCCAGGGGAGCGCAGGCAGGGCAGCCCTGAGCCCCGGCGGCACGGACCAGCCAGAGCTTCACTCCCGGAAGCACCTGGCCCTGGGCTCGGCAGCGAGCACCTGGCCAGCTGGGTGGCTTCGGCCGGGGTGGGTGGCACAGGCAGCCCGCAGGAGAGACCGGCCCGGTCCCCGTCCAGGTCAGGATTCCTGTGGTCTGTCTGCCACACACAGTGTGAACGTGCGCTAGTGCCCCCACTCTGCCCCCCCGGGAGGAAGGGAAGGAAGAATCACGGGGTGGACGTGACGTTCCCCAGGCCACCCACCAAGTCAGTGTCAGGAGGGGGCTAGCTCCTGATTCACTAGGCCCAGGTGGCCGGCACGCCACCAGCCCCTCCCAGCCCTGCCCAGGGCTCCGGCAGCTTGCGGCGCTCACCTTCGGGCATGGGGTTGGCAGTGACAATGCACTTCAGCAGCACCTCTGCGCCCACCGTCACCACAGCATCCTGGATGGGGATCTCGAAGACCGGGGCCTCCAGGGGATCCTCGCCGGCGGAGACGTACGAATCGTCGGATGACTCTGAGCGGGGAGAGATCAGCCCGTGGCACTGAGCAGGGACAGGACAGAAGCTGCGCGGAGCCCCACAATGGCTGAGCAGAGGGGGCAGCAGCAGCCCTGGGGACCCCCAGCCCACCTCCCCCCAGCAGCGATTCATGCACCAGGGTGGGAGTAGGGCCCACTCCATTGGCGATGCTGTAGTCGGGCTCTGCCCTGGGGTGCAGCCATCTCTGCTCCGAGCTATGCGGGGAGAGGCGTCTCCTGCCTTGCCCAGCTCTCCCATTGCGCCTTTGGGCTCTGGGACCTGAAATGCCCCTGGACTCCCACCCCTCCCTGCCATGGGGGGCATCCCTCAGCAGCAAGTGGCAGCGGTCCCCGTGTGACACGTTGGCCAAGGCCAGGGACTGAACCAGGGACCTGCACAGCTGGGCATGAGCTGCTCCAGTCAAGGAGCCGGGCGCCCTGGCTCGGGCTTGGGGACCCCTGCTCCAGGGGGTCACATGGGGGTGTATTGGGCACACGGGCTGGGGCTAGGGGGGAGCACATGGGGGGGGCGTCGGGCACACGGACTAGCTTGCTAGCAGGTCCCGCCTGCAGGAGAGGAGGGGATGGCACCAGGCGCCCCCGCCAGACCCACAAGGCTTCCCGCTGCCAGGGAGACGCCCCCCTCTGGGTGCCCCCACTAACCCCCCGCTAGCAGCAGGCAGGTTTATGGGCAGGCAGTTCCTGAGCCAGCCCCAAGAGGGCGCCCCATGCAAGGGAGAATGGCCTGAGGGAGCCATAGAGCAGGGCACGAAGAGCAGCCGCAGCAGGGTCCCTGCAGCAGGAAAGGGCCATAGAGAGAGGCAGCAGGGAGAGCGCCCCCTGGTGACGGGGGCTGCTCACTGCAGCGCAGTGAATCCCAGCTGGGGTGGCTGGGTGTGGCCGGGGGGGGGGGGGGCGGGTAGGGGGGTCATTCCCCCGGGTCTGGGCCCACGTGCGTCGGACAAGCTCCCCCGGGAACCCCCACGGCTCGCTGGCCGGCTCCCTTTGCTGCAGAGCAATGCAGCCCTGCGCTGCCCCAGCACCTCCAGCCCCCCAGCCTGCGGGCAGGGCCTGGGGCTATTCCGCGGCTTAGGGCAGGGCACCGCCCAGAGCCAGGGCCTCGGCGCAGTTACGTTCCCCGCCTGGCACCTGGGCCTTTCTCCGCCCGTCCCAACGAGCGGGCGCGAAGGGCAGCGTTCCCGAGCTCCTGGCAGCGCCCGGCACTGGCAGAGGGGGGAGCTCAGAAGAGAAAAGGGAGCTGGGGAGGTGACAGAGCGGGCGTCTGGGCACTCATGGGCGAGGCGGCCTCAGGGACTGGCCCCCTGCCGCACCCGCTGGGAGCTGCATCGGCTTCTCCACTCCCGGCCCCCGTGCAGGGCAGGGGGGTTCCCAAGGGATCTGCCCCACACTCCCCTAGCAGGGCCTCCTGGGGGTTCAGTGTGCAACTGGGGAGGTGCTGGAGCAAACTGCCCTCTCTAGCCAGGAGTCCAGGGGCTGGCCTGGGCTCAGGGCTGCAAAATACTGTGCCCGGCCAGGAAGGCTTCAGGGTCGTGCAAAGCCCAGTGGGCGTGCTCAGCTCATGCGCTGGCCAGGGAGGGCCTTGTGCCGCGGTGCCAGCCCTGGGGGGTGGGGTGAGCCGTGTGCCCAGCATGCAGGGCCCCGAACCAACGCGGGGAAGGCCGCAGGAGGCAGCTCTGGGCACACCAGGTGCCCACTGGCCCTTGGGGAGGTGGTTTTCATTGCTGCCTGGACTCAGTCCCCATTCAGAGCTGTCTGCCCTTTCAGTGCCGGGCACCGGGCAGAGCGAAGGAGACCCGCCAAGCCAGGAACTAGCCACGCTGCCAAGGGCTCGAGACGGGAGCTCAGCCTGCAGGTGGGCCCGTGGCTGGCAGCTGGGCACGGCTGATGTGCTGGGATGGAAGGGGGACAAGGGACTTCTGCGTCCTCCCACCCCCCCAGCAGGGAGCGGGGCGTTGCCATGGAGCAGAGGAGCATGTTGGGCTGTCAAAGGGGCAGGAGAGAGCTGGGTTCTGGGTGCCATGGAGCCCAGGCAGGGCAGAGCAAGGGACCGATACCTGCTCGGGGAAGCCAGGGCATGGGCCCTGACAGGCCGGGCTTCGGGGGGGTCCTAGCCCTGGTGAGTCTCAGTCTTCGCAGTGACCCACAGGGCTCCCCATGCCCGTCCCGTGACTCCCTTCTGGGGAGGGCCCTTAGCCAGAGACTCCGGACCCAGAGATCCCCTCCTGTCCATGCCCCGGGGAGCCAGCCCCTCCCCGGCACAGCACCCATCCCATCCCGCCGGGCCCCGCACCCCTGATCCCTGCCTGATTCCCGCCCTGGCTCGGAACCCCCGCCCCACGCACGCCCCTGCTGACGCTCCTGGCATTGCAGCTCACGTTCCCCTCCCCTGTTCCCTGGGGCTGTCCACTCCCTCCTCCGGATGCCCGCACCCACCCCAGTGAGCCGAGCCCCCAGCCCTCCTCTGCTCCGCCTGCTCAGAGCACAACGGTAAATAACGTTCCCAAAGCCCCCGGGGTCCCGCCATTGGGGCAGGGCAGGGCAGAGTGCAGTGTGCCCAGCCCCAAACGCACTGTCTGCACTGGCCGAGCTCAGGAGGGGAGCCCCCAACCCCCACTCCGGGGTCAGGGCCCCTCGTCCCGGGTGCTGCCCAGACCCAGCCTGAACGTACGTGCCCCCCCCCATTGGTAACGCTCCCCGGCAGGGGCAGCAGGGTGCATTGGTGCCCGCCCCACCCTGCTAGGGAGGGGCACGGCAGGGCGCTCTGGGCACAGGCCTGGGGGGAAGGTTCAGGCTGGGGTGTCTGATACTGTTGTTGGCCTCTCCGGCTGGCACAGACGGGGAACCCCCTGACCCACCGCCCGCCCCGGCCCTGGCAGGGCCCATGGGGCAGCCCAAGCAGTCAGCCCCTCTGCCTGAGGGACTTGCCCAAGGAGTCGGTGGGAACTGAACACAGGTCTCCTGCCCCCAGCTCTGACCCCAAAGCGCTCGGCTCTTTGGGGGGCTCCTGGCTGTACGGGACGCTGGGCCCTGTGTGTGGGTACTGGCGGCCCCCACCCGCCCGCGGGGAGGACAGCGGCTGCCCCTACCTAGCTCTGGCGAGGTGGGCCGGGGCCGGCGGCCTTTCCCCTTGCTCCGGGTGCTTCTCCCTTCCTGAGCCAGCCGGGCACCTTCCTTCTTCTCTGTGACCTTCAGCTGCCTTTGCTCGGCATCCCTGCCTGTGCCACGCGGCCCTGCCCTGGCCCCCTCCAGGCCGGCTCCGAGCTCCGGCGCGGGCTTGGCCCAGGGTAAGAACCGCACCTCCTGGCCCGCGTCCCGCCTCCTATGCGGCCCGTGCTGGCCTGCTGGCCTGGTGGTCAGGGCTTCGCTCCCAGCCCCGGGGGCCCTGCCATCGCGGCTAGCTCTCGCCCCGACCGTCGGGCCCCCATCCAGGCATGCGACTCCTTCGGGGGGCCTGGCCTCCGGCAGGTCCCCTCGCCCCAGCGGAGTGGCCTGCGATAAGGGGCACTGCTCCACCTTCCTCTTGCCCTCAGCACCTTCCGGCTCCCCACTCCTCCTGGCTCTGGCCTCCTCCCGGGGCTGGCTCGTCAGGGCGCAGCTCCGAAGCAGTGGCTTCCGCGTGGCTGCCCGCTCCGCCCCGTCTCCAGGCCCCCCCAGCCCCACGCTGGCCAGGGCTAGCTGCTGGATGCCGTACGCGTTCTCCACAGGCGGCGGGGCCTTGAGCCCCTGGTCTTTCGGGGCCGGGGTGGCTTGTGTCTCCAGCGCCCGGGGGGCAGAGAGCTGGCTGGGGCCCCGGGGTGAGGGGGCCTTTGCCAGCTCCTGCGACCTCATCAGCTGCTGCTTGGAGACGGTCTTCTTGATGCGGCTCAGCTCCTCGGAGAACCTGTGCTCGATGTCGCCGACCCGGCTGGCGAAGTGGCCCCGCTCGTCGAATGAGGCGGCCTTGTGGCGGAAGGCCTGGCGCCGGCACGTCGGGCCGCCCATCTCCGACCGCACCCCGGCCCGCAGCTCCTCCCGGGAGCTGTCCGGCGTGAGCGGGCGCTGGCCCAGGTCGGGCTGGTCGAAGGAGCGCGTCTTGCGCAGGGGCAGCCAGGCGTGGACCGGGAGGGGGCTGTCGCTCTGCTCTAGGCTCCTCCGGCGCTCCTCGAAGTACTTCAGCTTCTCGAAGATCTTGGAGCCGGAGCGCGCCAGCTTGGGCGAGGGCCGCAGCACGGACACCCGGCTGGAGGTCTCGCTCAGCGGGGTCTGGGGCCGGGACTCCAGCGTGCTGGCCTGCGAGTACCCCAGAGACTTGGGCTTCTGGACCTTCGCCTCGTACTCCTCGGGGACCGTGTCCTGGTACTCCGCCGGCATCAGGGCCGTCTTGCGGGGCGTCAGGGGCGTGGGGGAGGGGACGCCAGGACCTCGGCTGGCCGGCTGGGCCGGGCACTGGCCCACCCTGGGAGACGGCAGGCAGAGAACAGGTGGCTTGGAGGCCAGGGGCTGGGCTGGAGGCCTTGGGGAGTCTGCACCAGGCTTCGGAGAGAATTCCGAGGGGTCGTCTCTCCTGTACCCGCCCTGGGGGATGCTGCTGCAGGCAGAAGGGAAAGAGGGGGGTGTCAGAGCCAGCCTCGCTTACAGCCTGGCATGCAGCCCTGCCCCCCGAGGGCAGCAGAGCTGGTCTGCCCAGGGCAAGGAGGGGGTGTGAACGCAGGCGACCCTGGGGAGTGGGCTATCGGCGTGGCACAGGAGCTGGAGCGAGGCTGGATAAACGTCAGAAAGACGGGGGGTGGGGGAGATCCGTCTGGGAATGTCCCCCATTCCCCCACTCCCCGAGGGAACCAGAACCGGCCTGGGACAGCCAGCCCTGCCCTGCCCTGGGAGAGGGGCTGGAGGAGTCAATGGGGCGTCTCCGTCTCTGGGCCGCAGTCCTGGCCTCCCCGTCTAAAGCCCATCTGGGATCTGGCGCCCGAGACGGAGGCTGGCACCAGGGGGACGAGCTGTCCCACTGCGATACCATCCGGGCGGTGCCCAGCAAGGCAGGGGTGCTGTGGTCTTACCATGCCTGGCGTGGTCCGGAGGCACCTGGGCCTGCACTCTCCCTGGCTCCGGAGCGAGCACAGCCTGGGCTCTGGGGGAGCCCGACTGGCTGGAAGCGTCACGGCCGGGCTGGTACGCATGTGGGTGGCAGTGAGACTAGGACCTCCTGGGGCTCACTGGATGGCAGCCCCCGGGGCCTGGCACGGCCAAGGCAGCTGGGGGTAGCTAGAGCTGGAGCCCTGCTGGGGGGCTGCGGCCCCACAACTGGGGAGCAGACTCGGGCGAACTACAGCAGTCGGGTCACTCGGCTCAACGGCTGGGCCCTGGGCAGGACCAGCAACGGGGGGAGGGGGATTCACCCCCCCGCTGCCGCAGCACTCAGGCAAATCTCCCCAGCCCTAGGTCACACCCAGCCACACGCACGCACGGGCACGCGCACCCACACACTCATGGGCACGCTCACACGCACACATACACGCACATGTGGGCACGATCACACACACATGTGCACACATGTGGGCACACACATACATGGACATGCTCACACACACATATGCACACACATGTGGGCACACCCAGACACACACATGCACACACACACGTGGGCACACACAGACACACACGGTCTCAGCAGGATGCCCACGGACCCCCGAGCCCCTTGGACGCGTGGGGATGACCCGACTGTGCCCGCGGGCAGGGGGCGAGGCGGGCTGGGGTCCGCGGGGGTGGGAAGCGGAGCGATGAAGATGATAACCTGGGGGAGCCTCGAACACAAGACAGCGAGATGGAGGTGGCAGGAGCGGGCAGGATGGGGCCCCTGAGCACAGCAGCCAGGTGGGCAGACGCCCCCCCCCCCACTCCCCCGCCCCCGGGCCAGGCAGGTCCCAGCAGCCCGGCAGGGGCCGCAGCGGGGCTGGAAGGAGTGTCCCCAGGAGGGCCCTGCCCGTGGATCCCAGCCGGGGTCCATACATAGAACATCAGGGTTGGAAGGGACCTCAGGAGGTATCTAGTCCAACCCCCTGCTCAAAGCAGGACCATCCCCAGACAGATTTTTGCCCCAAATCCCTAAATGGCCCCCTGAAGGAGTGAGCTCACAACCCTGGGTTTAGCAGGCCAAGAGGCTGTCTGGGACAGCGGGAGCCGGCCGGGGAGCAGGGCGGCCGTGGGGCTGGGGGGACTGGAGAGCAGCTCGCAGAGGGGGGCTGCGGTGCTAGGAGGGCAGTGGCTTTGTCCCTATGCTGGAGTCAGCAGAGCTGGGCACAGGGAGTGGGGAGGGGGCAGGGAGCGTGACCCACGGCCCAGGAACGAGGGCTCTTTAGCCGGGCTCCACCCCAGAGCAGCTCCACCCTAGCTCCCGCTGCCCGGTGCACAGCCCGGCCCCCAACCCTCCCCCCAGCCCCCGGGCAGGGCCTGCCGTGCTCAGAGGCCCCGGTCCTCCCACAGGGATAAAGGAGGCAAAGAAAGACCCCAGGCTGAGGGCTAAGATGGCTGCGGGGGTCGGGAGGAGATGGCCCCAACACGATGCCCCCTCCGCAGCCTCCCCCAGCTACTTACACGTGGATTGAGAGCGCCCGTCCTCTGTACAGACTGAAGGCGCTGCCGTAGGGGTCGCTGGCCACCGAGAGGCTATCCTCCGACCCCCAGCTTGTGCCCACCAGAATAGCACGCGACGCCCGTAGCAGCGGCTCCACCCCCAGGTGCCTGACCTCGGCGCCGCGGGGGGCCTGCGCGTGTGCTTGCCTTGGGGTCCCCTGCGGCTGCCAGCCACCGGGGCGCAGGTAGGGCCCCCTCACTGGGAGGCCGGGCTCCGTCTCCTTCTCCACCACGGTCTGCTGGCTGCCCGACCAGCTGGAGCGCTCCTCCGCCTGCGACAGGCCCAGCGCCGACGTGGTCATGGAGGTGTCCACCAGCGTGTTCGACTCCCCTGCGCAGAGGAGAGAGGGGTGAACTGGCAGGCAGCGCCTGGAGGGGTCCGGCCAGAGCCCCTGTCCGCTGCCACTGGCTAGGCCCCGGCCCTGACTGGAGCCAGGACTGGCCAGGACACCCCCTGTGACGTTATTAATATAAACTGGGACGGTATAGATCATTGTTGCAACCAAGGTCCCATAGTGGCACCAAATCCGATACGAAGGGGGTCAAATAAGGTGTCTAAGGACCTCCATGAAGGACCATCAGCGACACAACTGACCCATTGAGAGAAGGGAGATACACCCTGTGACTCAGCAAGGCAGGGACAGGCCTATGGACAGAACTGTAAGGGTTTTCATGACATGTGCTGGGCAGCTTGTGTTTGGGACAAAGGACGCAGAGGCCACATGGCAAAAGGACTGTAAAAGGCAGCTGCATCTCCTCCATTTTGTCTTCAATCCTGCGTCTTTCCTCTGGAGGGACTTTGCTACAAACCGAACCTCTGAACAAAGGACTGAATGACCCGTCCCAGCTGGGGATGTTCCAGAGACTTGATTTGAACCTGCAGTTTATTCCATCACTGCTACACAGGGCCGCCCAGAGGGGAGGGGGGGGGCAAGTGGGGCAATTTGCCCCAGGCCCTGGGCCCCACAGGGGCCCCCATGAGAGTTTTTCGGGGGCCCTGGAGCAGGGTCCTTCACTTGCTCTGGGGGCCCCGGAAAACTCTCGTGGGGCCCGGGCCCCTGGAGCTTCTTCCGCTCCGGGTCTTCGGCTGCAATTCGGCGGCGGGGGGCCCCCCGCCGCCGAAGACCCCAGGCCCCCTGAATCCTCTGGGCGGCCCTGCTGCTACAAGCCTGAACCAAGACCTTTGTCATCACTGTATGGAATTGATTCCATTTAACCAATTCTAACTCTCATCTCTATCTTTTTCCTTTTATGAATAAACCTTTAGATTTTAGATGCTAAAGGATTGGCAACAGCGTGATTTGTGGGTAAGATCTGATTTGTATATTGACCTGGTGTCGCGGAGTGTGGGGGAGTCAGGGCCCTGCACCCCTCTTCCTGAGACTCACTGTGACTCTCAACCAGCCAGTAAAGCAGAAGGTTTATTTAAGGACAGGAACACAGTCTCAAGCAGAGCGTGTAGGTACGACCAGACCCGCTGTTGCGGATTGTGGGGGAGTTAGGGCCCTGCACCCCTCTTCCCGAGATTCACTGCGACTCTCAGCCAGCCAGTAAAGCAGAAGGTTTATCAAGGACAGGAACACAGTCTCAAGCAGAGCGTGTA